GTGCTCTAATGGCAGCTGCTGCGAGACCCGGCGTGCCGAGAGGCCACCGGGCACGCCGGGTACTAACGGTGATGGAGGGAGTGTGGAGCAGCGAGCGGCTCTGAAGCGGGAAGTTTGTCAGTGACGGAATGAGGCCAGTCCCTGCTCTGCTGCATGTAGTTTATGTAGATTAATAATACACCGCACGTATACACGGAGACCAGAAAACGAGTCGATCCCAGGGAGCTGCAGTGCATCGTGTCGTCTGTCACTGTGTTTGTCTCCCCGTCACACTTTGTCACCTCGATAATCCTCGGCTTACAGGGTCTCTGCGATTGCTCTAAAGAGGCCTTTGTGTTCAGGGTGAAAGTGCGAGTTCATTCCATATGCCCCATAACAACACATCCGCTTCCAGTTTCCACATTTCCTGCAGCTGGCAAAGTCACAACGACGTCCAAAGAGTCAGAAGCATACAGAGCATGAAAACTGACATAAATCAATTCAATATTTACTTTTATTTATTTATTTTAGCAAGTAAGAAACTTCATGGAGGACACACAAAGCGTACGCCCCACAGAGTTTGCAGAGTGATGCCATGGACAGGTGTGGCATTCTGACCGCTGACGAGAATAACACCGATCATCGCTTCATCGCTGCACCTGTTAGTAGGCGAGCTATATCAGGGAGGGAGTGAACATTTTGTCCTTAAGGCTGATATCACAGCAGTATCAACACCACATCGTCTCAACTCTGCAGGCCGGGGGTGTGTCACAGTGTGATGGTTTGGGGGAGGTTCTGCTGGGAAACTTTGGGTCCTGCATCCATGTGGATGTGACTCGACCTCACCATTAGGGCTGGGTTTTGATAATCGATTTATTGATTATAATTGATTCTGTCTTGGATAACGTGAAATCGATTCATTAAAATCCTGAATCGATTTTTTAATATAAATTTATTTTGCCCGAAATGCCAGAATCTCAATTTCAACAACCACCAAACAGCTGAAACAGTAAATGAGAGCAGGAACAGGCTTCTGCACAAAGACGTGAACACACAGCGTGGACCCGCGGATCAGAATCAGTGAGATGTCGCCTTTCTCACCCGACGACACGGACACGGTCGGGGCTGAAAGCCGACAGCTCGCTGACTCTGATGTTTCGGCGGGTCCGCGCTTTGTGTTTACGCCCTTTTTGCGCTGATTCTAAAGCTGTTAGTTTGATCTCTCTCCAAACAATATTGACCGAACCAGCAGCAAAAGAAGATCCAAACTACGCTTCACATAAACATCGTCATGGACTTTTGCTGTTTTGCTTCCACCAGGATAAAATCACACTTCATGCACAGCTCTCTCTCTCTCTCTCTCACACACACAGTTTCCCGTCTAAAAATCTGTTTTCTGCATTATTCGCTTGCTTGTTACGCACAAGTCTACCGTTGTTTACAGGCTGTCGGCCGCCATTTTTTTCCCTTTTACTTACTTCCGAAAAGAAAACCTAATTTCTGCAGTTCAACAGGCTTCTGAACAAATTTAAACTTTTTAAAATTATGCAAAATGCTAAACCGTGTCTCTAATAAAACCGCTGTAACTTCAGAGGTGATGTTCATATGTTGATTAATGGTTTTCTTTCGTTTTTGATCTACTGCAGAATATTTTTATAAAATCCAGGCCAGGAAAATCACCTTCATGTTTTTCTGTGTTTTATCTTCAGCTGCTTTGACACAAAGGCCTCTGCTGTGATGCTCACACCTTTGATAAAGTCTGGAAAGTGTCAGCTTCCTTTTTATAGATACAAAAATATGTAAATGTACTGATCTGAATTATAATATTTCTGACTGTCTGAGGCAAAATTTCCCAGATTCAAATCGAATTGAATCAAATGGGTCGAATCGATCGTGGATCGAATCGATTCAGGACCTGGTGAATCGGAATCAAATCGATTCTAGAAATCAGTGACGATACCCAGCCCTAGTCACCATCATTGCAGGCCGTGTACACCCTTTCATGGAAACGGTGCTTCCTGATGGCTGTGGTCTCTTCAGCAGGATGATGCACTGATAATTTTATCCTGTCTTCCTTCCTTCCTTCTATCGGTCACAGCAGATGGCCCCGCCCCTCCCTGAGCCTGGTTCTGCTGGAGGTTTCTTCCTGTTAAAAGGGAGTTTTTCCTTCCCACTGTCGCCAAAGTGCTGCTCATAGGGGTCATATGATTGTTGGGTTTTTCTCTGTATGTATTATTGTAGTCTACTTACATAAAGCGCCTTGAGGCGACTGTTGTTGTGATTTGGCGCTGTATCAATAAAACTACTCAAAATGTTTTTATTGAGTGATTTTGGATACAGTTTATGAAGAAAAAAAGAAAAGGGAAACACAAAAACTTGTTACACTAAATACAAAACAGAACTTCTCATGTTGGAACAAAAAAAAAAGGAAAACAAACAAACAAACAAAAAATAACAACCCAGGATGGGCGATCGATACTAACAAAGCCTTTCCTTACAAACCACACAGACGTTAGCTCAGTACCACTGAGCTTCACATTCCCATTAACACAGACACATATCGGACCTGCTGCTGACACGTTGGTGCAGATACGGGGGGGCCTCGAAGGGTCAGGGGGGCCGACGCAGTATTAGGCAGGTGGTCAAAATGTTATGTCTGGTTGGTGTAAAATACTTCTTGAAGTTAATTCATTGGACGCTAAAAGCCCTTCAAGTCTTCTAATTAAGAAATAGCGCTGAATGTGACGATTGAAAGAACTAAATCTGCGATTGTGACATTGCAGAATAGAGAAAGGTGTTTCCAGCCATTAGCAGTCTTGACCAAGTGGTCTTTAAAAGTGGTTTAAGAGTGCTAGATTTACGCAGTGGTTAGTGATACTGGCTCATGGCAGGAAGTTCCTGGGTTTGAATGCTCTTGCCAGTTGCGTCCTTTCTGTGTGGGCATTGCCTGCTCTATGAGAGAGCGTTTGAACCACACATCACTTCTCAGCACATTTATTCCAGAAGCTGTGCCAAGCCCCCTTTATGACTAACAGTGGAGCCAGAAGCAGACCAGGTTAGACCCAGATGATGATAGATGTTCTCTTCATCGGTGACGTCCATTTTCATGTCCGTGTAGGATCATTTTGACCACCTGGGCCTTTCTGTGTATTCATTGGTCACTGCTGTCGTAAAAGAAAAGCATTCATAGTTTGCCGTGAGTCATTTTCAGTCCTGCATTCTGAATGCTTCATTATTGCTTTTTAAAAATATGCAGCTTGTTTTTGAAATCGGGGACGGTCTCGTTTATGTCCTGTGCATCTGAGGAGGAAACGTTTTCTGCACACTCATCCTGGTCACACTTAATTTGTCTTGTTATTTAAAGCCAGGATAAAAGGTCCCAGTGACCCACAAAGAAATACAGAGATGGGACTGATTATACAGAATATGTTTGAATGTTTTCCAAGTTGAATTTTATCCTAGAATATTATAGGCCAGATTTGATTAAATCACCTTCTACCAGGTAGTACAAGCTCATCTTGACAGAGTTTGAAGTCTCAAAATCTGACTGTTCCCTAGCAACCCAGACTTATATTTGGAAATAACTCTATTGTCAGATACGTCCGTATGAACACACACAGTCTTCGGGCAGGGGTCAACATTTTTGGTAACAGAAGCTTTGGCTGGATGTCTGATGATGGTTTAGCTTCTCGTGATCTCATGATTCACCATGATCGTGGAAGTCCTGGACGCCTCTGTGACTACAAGCAGCAACTGTGTGTTCCTGACTGGTTAGCAGGTTGATGGAGCTCGCTGGCTGTTGCTCCACAAAGGGTTCAACGTTCAAGTTTAGAGACGGCAGCTTTGCTTCGTCCTGCATCTTGGAACTACAAACCCCCATCCTGAGGGAAGAAGCTGAGGATGGAACCATGACTTAGAATTGATAAAGCCATCCGTCGTACCTGTTTAGAGCACAGGCCAAACAGGGCTGTGACTCACCTATCGGACGACTGGACCACCTCACTGTCTGCTGCTGTGAGGTTTTCTCTGTGACAGAGGTCTGACTGAACCATATCCCCAAACAAAAAGATAAAACAAAGTTAAAATTATTCAGTCAATGTGGAAATGAACAGGTTTCCAGTGACCCTTTTTGCAGACCGATTTGCAATTCTCATCAAAATTCAATTTCTCATTGATTATGGTCCCAAGATATTTACATGATTGCACTTACTCTGTTTTCCGACCTTTAATTAAAGTGACTCCGTGCCTATAATCATTCACAAAGAGGTTCACAATGCTGCACCGAAAACCTCAGAGGGATTGGTTTGGTTGCAAGCAGCTCATTGTGGGCTGGAAAATGCTAATTTGCTAATTTGTCTGCAAACACAACGCAGTGGTGAAAATGTGCCAGAAACCAGAAAAACCAGAAAGTTTTTGAAGGCTGCAACACTAAAACACAATGTTTAAGGTTTACATTAATGTTCTCGCTTCCTGTTTTAGGAGCTATCTGTCTGAGGCTAGCTTGTTTGCTTGCTAATCTCGCTTGCTAATCACCTGTGGGTAAGAACTGGGGGGTCCAGATTTTGCCTTGACGAACTGCTTCACTGTTTGCTGTTTCTGATTTTGCCGGCTGTCCATCCATGGACGGGAACAATGACAGGAGCAGATGAGGCCTTGAGGCGCTCGGGTGTGAGCGTAAACATCTTGCAGAGTCTCCACACAGAAGTCAGTCAGCAGGCTGTTAGAGAGACCTGAGGGAGCCGGGGGACGCCTCCGTTTTAATTATGTTGCAGTGCAGTCAGACATTGGCTGAGAAAAAAATGACCAAATGTTCATTTAACGACTTTCAGAAGCACACAAACAGACTTTGGTTGAGCTTCTGGCTCTAAACTGTCCATCGTTGGAAACTATTGTTTGGCATGTAAATTATAATTAGACTGAACGTCCTCGCTGTTGGTCGGAGACATAATCCAGCCTGACTTTGTCCTGCAGCTGTCTTTGTTTCAGCCTCTTCTCTGTCTTTGTGCTTGTTGCGTGTGCAGGAGGTGGGCTGCGATCGGCAGCTGGCCAGCGGTGCCAGGGAGGATAACTGCGGCGTCTGCGGTGGCGACGGCTCCACGTGCCGCCTGGTGCGAGGACAGGCCCTACCCCACCTGACCCCCGAACAGTGTAGGTATCAGACGGCCCTGAAAAAGAAATTCCACGTCTCCTGTCGTGTTTCATGCTCTGCAAGCTAATCGTCAGCGCTTTAGTACCAAAATACTCTTTGCACATCTTTCTGAGTGTTATTAAGTCTGCCTCCTGCAAATGGCTCAGTCTGAGCTTTCATTTTAGAGAATAAACCATCAGCTCAGGCCTAATGTCTCCCTGCTGGTTCCAGAAATGTAGACAAAACGTGGTCTGTATCTGTGCCCGGGCTGCCTCCCAGTCAGGCTCGGTGGGAAATGCATTGTGGGTATCACCTGGCTTGACTTGACTGGTCAGTTGAGCCGTCCTGGCTTTGGCCTCCTCTTTGCCTGCAGCCTCTATTTATTCATCAGGGCTGGACTATTAAAATGCCATCTGGCTTCAGCAGCCTACACTCTACCCAGCATGTTTTTATAAAATCAGCTTCAAATCTGAAAGAACAACAACAAAGAAAAACCAACGGCACATAACAGGAAGAGTCCAGCATTAAATGTGCGTCTGGAAATGAGTTTTAATCAATCTCATCTTAAAACAACAGAAGAGCATCGATCGTTGAGTCTGTCAGGAGAGATTAGCTGGAAAATGACTGACGAGCGCATCGGCATTCATTGCCAGCTGTGGATTTCGGGAATATTGCTAAACAAACAAACCAGCTGGCTTACCAATAAATACATAAATACGTAATGTTCACCTCTCAGCAGTTTGCTTTGAGAGAAACGTGACGCTGGAGCAACGCTGAACAGAGATGTCTGCCAGGTAGTGCTCGCTCCTGACTGAGCGGAGCTGCCAGCAGAACAAATAACAACTTTACAACACTGTAAATGTGAAAACGCACTTCAAATGTTTCCAGGGCTTCTCGGCTTTTTCCCCAGGTTTTAACAGCTTAATGAAGTCGCTGCTGGCAGCAAACACACATGCCAGAGTTATTGGCCCTGGTCGTGTATGTATATCAAATGTTTAAATGAAGTAGCGCTGGCGTGCCTCGCAGAGTGGAAATGAATATGGCTGGTATTAAAACTCACAGCCAGTGACCGTGTAAATATTTCTGTGGCTTTTAACGTGTGGAATGTATTTAGAGAAGGCCGGGGTGTGTCCGCGCTGCTGAGGTGGAATTTTATACAGACGTAACTGTGGAGTAAATGAGTTTGTTTGAGAAATGCAAAACGTAGAGACGAGGCTCATCGTGACCCGATTAGGGAGTCTGGACGTTTAGGAACATGTTTGAAATCTCCTTAGACATGAACGTCATTACCTGTGTTTGGGCATCAAGACCTCGGGGTGTGTCTTTGTGGGAAACCACAAAGACACAAAAATAAGTTGAATAAAACTTCAAACATGTACGTGAATCTAAATGTAATTACTTTAATTTCATCTTTAATGACACAAAATAACCAATCACAGCTGCTTATTGTTGGTCAAAGCGAGTGAAGCTGTTGCCACTTCTGATCATTTTAAAACATTTGTTCTTATTTTTGGAACAAAGGATGAAAAATGTAGCCGCAGGTCTGCTGTCTCTGTTTCTGCACAGCTGCACGAAGCGTCCACGCGGCCTTTCTTCATTCCCTTATTACAGCCGCGAGGCCTCAAGGTGTGTGTGTGTGTGTGTGTGTGTGTGTGTGTGTGTGTGTGTGTGTGTGTGTGTGTGTCTGTCAGAAGCTTCGCCCGTACCAAACTCTCTTCTGCCAACTTTAGAGTTAAATCAGTGGAAAAAATAAACAAGAACATAAATGTGGTCGGACGTCCAGTGAAAGTGTTTCATAAGAGGTTTGATGAGTAGCTGTACGGAGGTGCACCTAAAACTTTCTCTCTCGTTAAGCACGGAGTCCACAGCCAATAGCTTATTTCCTCTAATGGGCACAAAGATGTGGTATTGTTGGAGGACTCAGGTCAGCAGCGTCATGTTGTCTGTGTCCTCGTCTGATCTTCGTCCAAAGATGTGTCCATGTTGTTTCAGTGCTGACCACAGGAAGCCTGTCGATCAGTGGACGCTGCCGTTACGCTGCCCCGAGTTTATTCACAGCGAAGCACAGAAAACAAACTCTTTAAACTATTTTAAACACATCTCAGTTTCAATTCCATTCAAAAATCATCTTATTTTTATTTTACTTTTATTTTATTTACATCTTTAGAAGTTGGACGGGTCCATGTCCTCCTCTATAACCTTTAACCTTTAGCCTGTGATGGTCTGTGAGCTGAGCAGCTGCTGGACGTTGTCCCGTCCTGGTCTGATGGCGGTCTTATGAACTCTGACCTCAGATCAGTTTGCACTTTGCTTCAGTGGATTTTAAAGGAGCTTCGGAGGAGGCGGGGCTGTTTCTGGAACACGGTCGCATCTGTCTTCTTCTCTGCATGATGCAGCTTTAACCTGCACGTGTGGACGGCACGCTGAGCCCACGCACTGATGTCACCACAGACTCGCGCCTGTCTAATGCAGCGCACAGATTGCAGGCAGCTTTCGGCTGATTGGTGAACCTCTGCCCAGCTCATCTTCTGAGAAGCTCTTTTCAAACGCTGTCATGTTCCTGACCTGCTGCCAAATAAGCTGATTACAGCGTCGCTCCGGCTGTTGCTGTTTAGTGAAATGTTCTTTTCCAGCCTTTTTGTCACTGTCCAACTTTTTTAGAGACACGTTGCTGCCTCATAATTCAAATGAGCTCATATGTTTCATGAAATAATAAAATGTTTCCATTTAAATACTTGATATGTTTCCCATGTTCTGAAATATGTCTTTGTGATTTATTTATTGCTTTCTGTTTTCATTTCCTGTTTACACATTAGAGGAGGCGTCACTTATTTCGATCTGCAAACGACATCTTTTCAGTGAGTTTTTCTGTGCAGGGATATTTGTTAAAGGAACAGTGCACCCATGGAGCTTCAGTTAAATATTAAAATAGTTCTCAAGAAGTGATGTGCCATCAAAACCAGCCTCCTGAAGTTGGACTAAACCCAGTGAAACACATTACGACAGTGACAGGTTTGTGGCGTGTGGCCGGGTGGGCGACCCGGCACGAACGCCAAAGCAAAGGCGAGATTTAAACGCACGAGTGCGATCCGAACACCAGCATTAAGCGCTCCACAGACGATCAGCTTTCATCCCGTGTGTAGTTTGGTTCATTCAGAAACTCCGATGTTGTTGAGACACAGCCGCACAGCTGAGTGAGCACAACTGCACACAATGAATGCAGCGGCAGCGAAAGGCCTTTATCCTTTGTTGGGAGGATAACAAATCCATTTAATATATGCTACGGCCTGTTAGCGAGCACAGCCAGAAAGCTGAGCAGCATTTAAATCCCCACAACAAGACGTTTTACCAGCACTCGAGGCGGCCTGGAAACAAAAGGCAGCAGCTGGGAATTTGCTGTCAAACGGCCCCAATTTCAAACACCAGATTCAGACTGACTGTCAGTTTGAATTTAGTTGGACTATCCTGTTATTTTGGAGGGTTTGTTTTACTTCTCTGCATCTGCATTTTCCACGTGACCTGACATTAGTCGTTTTCTATCAGTAAGAACACATCGGCCTGCAAAACACATCGAGGCTTCGATTGCTTAGCAGAGGTCCTTCAAAGACTTGCTCTAAACTTTCCCTGAGTGACTCAGGGTTTTGTGTTTGTTTAAAACATCGACTGTATATAAAAGATTTCGGCTGCAGCCGTGCTTTGAAGCCAGAAGTGGCCATATTTGGATCAGACGAGTGCTAATGTTAGTTAATGTCTGCATCCTTAAATGTATGGAAGCTCCGCCTCCTCGGATGGTCTGTTGGTACAGCGACCTCACAGCTGCCATATTATTGGTCACATGATGTCATGAAAAGGCTCCAACAGCACAAACACAGTGCAGAGGTCCAGTTCAGGTGAAGCTAGCAGCTACACCTGAACTTCACCATCCACCTGTCATTCAAAGAGGCCACGCCCCTAATAATGCATGTTGTTAAGAAGGGGAAATTATCTCTGGAGACCAAACAGTTTGTGTTTCAGGCTGTAAACGTGTTTATTTCTGCTCTGTGAGGACTGACTCACTGCTGATGTCTCTGCTGGACGTCAGAGGAACTGCAGGCCTTGGTGTTTCAGCCCCGCTGGTTGCTGCTCTGTTAAAGTTCTTGCAGTGGACATCACTCTACCTGAGTTCTCTGTCAGCATCCAATATAAATGTTCTCTGATATCTACAAATGATTTGGAAGCACTCCAGCCTGATCACATTTTGTATTCTAATCTGTTTCCCAGCGATGCAGAAACTCTCGCTGCTTCCTCTTCCTCCCTTTCTTGTTTAATCTCTGGTTTCTTTAAGCTCGCATCACGCCAAGTCAGACTTCGTTTGGCCTTTTTAGCCTTACCTCCCTGGAGGACTGCAGCAGAACAAACATCTGCACTAAATGTCAGTGGTTCTGTGCAACACATTCTTCATCACTTACATTTAGTTTATTGGGATTAAAATTCCAGCCAATTTGGCAGTTTCCTTTTTGCACTCCCCAGCCTCACGCAGAGGTCGGTCACCATTCTCTGAGCTCTAATAAGCTAATTGGTATATCTGTCCATCACTTCTCAAAGACCGGGCAGGGAGATTTAATATTCCGTTTCTGGATCTTGACAAATTTAGATTAGAACTTTAGCTTGAAGATTTTTCCCTTTGAAACGGCTGAAAACAGGCTGCAGGAGTGCTGATTGCAGAGAACAGTCAGCGCGCTTCTTCAAGTCTGTGCTGATTTGAAATGTGAGGACACTGGTGTAATGTGTCACCTTTAAATGTAGTTTTATGTGTAGAAGGTAAAGACAGTCGAGAGGCAGATGGTACAGTTTGTAAGGTTGCAGCAATGCCAGAAAAACATAGACTGTACAAAAAGATGGACACCACCACCATGATGTCACTCATAGCTTCAAAAGTCTTTAGTTGGGTATTTTGGCATTGCAGTTACTTCCTCCATATATGAAATTACAGAGTTGATAAATGTGTTATTATAAAAATAAGAAAAACGAGTAATTTGGA